GCAGACTACGGGCGTTCCCCGAGGCAACCAATGCAATGACCCGAGGTGAATGGCAGTTTGCACCGAGATGAATGGCAGTTTGCACCGAGGTGAATGGCTCGCTTCGCTGAGGTGTCTTCAGAAGTTCCCTGAGGCGTTCGAAGTTCGGCTCGGTGCTATGGGATGAAATCCGACCCCAACAGGAGACTTCTCAAAAGACTGACGCCTTGCTATCCATGGTGGAGTGTAAGCGTTGGAGGCGTGCTCATGTCCAAGGAAACTGGTAGAAGCTGCAGCGTCCTTTGTACCTTTTCCTGCATCAACAACAGAAGAAACAAGCACTCGAGAATCTCGTGGCTTGTTAACCTGTGAAGCCTTCTTCGAAGATATGGAAGTATTAACTGAAGAAGGGGAAGGATGAGGAGGAGAGGAGCAATACCTTTGCTGATCAAGGCGTGGAAAGCGGGGGCGAGGTGTTGTGTATGGCTCGGGAACAGCTCCCGAATACTTGGTATTTTCTGCAGTCCCACAAGAAATGTTTGCTAAAATCTTCTTCTTTGCTCGTCGTTTGTGTCGATCGACACAGTTGGTGTCGGTCGACACCCGTTCGTCTGAACGATGCTGAGTTGCAGGCTGAGCAGTTTCAGCCTCTGCTGGTGCAGTAGAATCCAATTGCCTTGCAAATGATTCCTTTATAGATTCAACAGAGAAGGACTTACCACTGAGAATTGGAGGTGATTTAGAGCCATCCATGTCAAAATTCATCTTCACATCACACACATCCAATGAAATTTGTCCCTTCTTCACATCAATCTTCGCACCAGCTGTGGCTAAGAAAGCTCTACCCAAGATAAGAGGATCCTTGGGTTCTTCATCGTAGTCTAGTACTACGAAATCAGCAGGTATGAGGCATTCACCAATCTGCACTACAACATCTTCTAGGATTCCTTCGAGAATTCGCTTAGAACGATCCGCTAGAAGCAAGGTGATCCGTGTTGGCTTGTAAGCTGTCATAGCGAGGCGCACAACAACTGAATGTGGCATCAGATTGATAATGGAGATCTCACAACGATTTAGGGAACCGACCTATGGAGATGGAGCAATCAAGAACAAAGCTTCTTGGATCAGGTAGCTTTTCAGGCATCTGACTTTGAATTATTGAGCTAATGTGTTCAGACATAATCACTTTCTTTTTCTTTTTCTTCTTGGCCTCTTGCAGCACAATCAAACAGATATCCTTGGTGAGCAACGCAGCTTCTTCAGCACAGATTCCATTGTTGACCAATCGCTTGACATAGCGCTGAAGTGGTGGAGAAGATGTCTCGGGATTGACTTTAGGAATTGTAGTCAATATCTTCTCCATGATAGCCTTGCATCGCTCATCGTGAATCTCCTGCTTAGATCGACGCTTATTAGGAAAAGGGACTAGAGGCGTGTAGAAAGGTTTCGCAGGCGGAAAGACAATTACATAAGGAATTATGCGGACCTAGTGTCGATCGACACTAGGTGAGTGTCGGTCTACACTCCGAGATGGTGTCGACTCCTCTGTGTCGTGCTCAATCGATCTTTGTCCGTTGTACATCGAAACTGTCTCGTGGGGGAGATGGTGTCGATCGACACCCTTGTAGTGTCAGTCGACATTGCTGCTTTGTGTCGAGCGGCTCGAGTCTGTATAAGTCGATAACTCTCCCTCGAACGTCGTGTTCCACACGAATCGAGTGGGTGTCGATCGACAGCCTGGGGTGTCAAGCGGGCCAATAGCCCACGGGCTTTGTCCAAGTAGCCCACAGCGGGGCGGGCTTGGACATCATTTTTCATGCCCATAAAATAGCGGGCCTCGCGTACAAGCCCATGCGGATTGCGGGTTTTTGCGGGTTTTGTCCGCGGATTTGCGGGCCGGCCCGCGGACTACAAATATTTAATAAAAATAATTAATTAATATAAATAAATAAATATTTTTACATAATTCTAATTTCTAAAAATATATATGTGAAATATATGAACATATAACGAAATTTAATGTATAAATTATAAGATTTACAAAAAAATTAATTCTAAAAGTTTTTTTATTGAAAAATTGTTAATTTTAAAAATTAATTTTATTTTTTCAATTATTTTTAAAATATTTAAAGCTAAGCCCGCGGGCCGGCCCGCTAACCTGTTGGGCTTAGCGGGGCGGGCCTGGACATATTATTTTTGCCCGCGGTCCTAGCGGGCCGGCCCGCCGCGGTCTCATAAATTTAAATGCCCATCGCGGGCTGGCCCAGATGGACGCGGGCCGGCCCGTTATACACCTCTAGATACTGGCTCTACATCGGTCGACACTAGCTCTGCAGCAGCGAGCTCAAGCTCGTCTTCGGTGTCCAATTCTTCCCAAACATCATCTCTATCGCTGACTAGAATTGCATTGCAGGCTCTTTTGGGATTAGTATCAGGCATACCAGGAAGAATACCATCTTGTCTCTTAACAGTGGCGGCGGTTTGAGCAACTTAAACATCGAGCTTCTTCATGTGATTATTCAAAGTATCAATCTTGCCATTCAAATCAGAATAGATGGTGTCAAACTTCCCGTTGAACTCAACCGTAAGCTTAGTCTGAACCTCTAGAATCTGCTCAAGCATCGTCTCCATCTTACTCTCGGGAGTGAGTGCAAGTGGGTTCTGGTAGGTTGTGTTCCCGTAGGTTCTCTAGAAGCTACTACTCTGTGGATATGTCTTCTGAAACGCAGGCCTATTGTTGAAACCGAAGTTGTTCTGATTTCCTATGAACCTCTGACCGCTGAAGTTACTCTATGGAGGACCGAATTTCTGGTATCCTTGGCCATCAATGTAAAACACTCCTTCTTCAGACTCTTCTTTTGGCTTAATAGTCTCAACCTATGCAGCAAAGTGAACAGCTTTCTTACCTGTGGGGAGGCTGTAGACGGAATCCAACTTGGCTTTAACCTCTGCAAACTGACTACCCGTAATTGCATCTGTGGTTTTCTTCCTTCCGAAGTTTGCATTCTTCGTGCTGTTGCTACAGGCGAGATTCTCAATCAAAGCTACAACATCGTCGGGGTACCTGTTGTTGAAGTTGCCATTGCTTGCAGCATCTAGAGCCATCTGATATCTCCTATCAACTCCTCTGAAGAATGTACCTATGAGCTGAACTTCACTGAAACCGTGATGCAGGCAATCTCGTTGGTACTCCTTGAATCTGACCCAAGCAGCTTTGAAGGCTTCTGCTGGTCCTTGACTGAATGTAGATAACTTGTTGCGCAGCTCCTCAGACTTACCATCATCGTAGAAGTTGTTGAGAAAGGCTACCTTTATCTTCCTCCAGCTAGTCAAAGATCCTTCCTTCAACTGCTTTAACCAAGAAGCTGCTTCCCCAGCAAGTGAGTATGGGAAGAGCTTGCAAAGAAGATAGTCATCTAAAACTCCATTACCTTTGATGGTAGATACCAATTCCTCGAAGCGCTCGATGTGGTCCATTGGCTGTTCGTTAGAGAAGCCATGGAAAGGTCGCTGTCCCATAAGAGTAAAGTATGCAGGATGCAGGTTTCAGCTCAAAGTCGTTTCTCTGGAAGACGGGGGCGGGGGGGGGGGGGGGGGGTAGGGTACGATCACTGATCGATTAGCATAGAACAGGTCTGGCCTGTTGTAATCCCCAAGAGTCATGTGACGTTTCGCCGCGACAGGCGGTTGTTATTGACCCTGCTGGCCAACTCTTTTCTGCTCGTCTGCTGGGAGTGGGTGTCGAGCGACACCCTGATGGTGTCAGTCGATACCAAGAACGTGTCCAGCTGCTGCGTCATGTGGAGCAGCAATCTGGGCGTTAGGATCATCCACAATCTGATCCTCAGGTATGACGATTCCATGATCGTCCAATCTCTGTCCAGCCTCATTGTAGGCTTGTCCATCATCATCTCTCAAAATCCCTTGTTCATCAGCTCTGATTTCTCCACGAACCATTGTTGATGATTTTGGAGCTTTGCGGTTAGTGCGTTCTAACTTTGCCAATTCAAGAGTAGAGTAATTGACGAGGTCTTTTTTTTTGCTGCTCGAGTTATGCGTTTAGGCATGCACCTGAAACACAAGAAAAAGAAAAGAAAGAAACGCGTAAGTATCAAAGGAAAAGAAATTTTTTGACAAAATTTATAAACTAAACTTAATAGTGATTCCCAAGAACTTCGGCAACGGCGCCAAATTTGATAAGGTTCAAATTGAATCCTAAAACTACTCTCTCAAATAAGAGATCAATTGCAGTATTTTAGGGTCGAATTCCACAAAGTTTTTTTGTTCACACAATAAGCTAACAGTTTCGAAATTATGCTAAATAAAATAATAAGAATTAAATTAAACGCAAGCAAATAAATCAAGTAACAAATCAATAGATTAAAGCGTCAGATTTAGGAAAATTCTCAGGAAATAAACTAATAGTAAATCTAGCAAATAAACTAATGTATAGCCAACCACTTCTTGAATGTATTGACTAACTAATCTAATATCAGGTAGTTCCTCCTCTCGAATGTAAACTCCTAGATTTAGACTAGCATTAAAAACAGGTTTGATATGTTCACATATATTCCTAGACCACCTCTCGAATGAATCTAGTAATTTCTGCCCACCTAAGATAGTTCAAGTAACAGACGCCCTCTCGGATCAAAACATATTATCCTATGATCAAGTTCTAGTTAGCTACTCTAGAACTAGCATTAAGAACAACCTAAGGCGAAAAACTCTATAGATTAATCCTAACAGGTAATCGATCTACTAATTCATCTAAATCCCTAATGAGAATCCCTAAACCTAATAGGGAGATTACTCAGACATGATTAATGAAACAGAAAACATGTTTGAATAGATTGCAAATAATAAATCAAAAGAAGGAAAGAGTTTAGAATAAATCTTCTCTCTACAGGGTTTTGAAATCTCTGAAAAGTTGCTCTCTCCAATTATCTTCCAAAGGGTTCAACAACTTGCTATTCTACTTCAAGAATAGAAACAGCGTGTCGTTTCTAATTGTAAGATCAGTGTTTGAGTACCACAAACCAAAACCATTCACCATCTTATTAATAAACCAATTCATAGATACACAACTAATCCAAACAATCAATTCATCATTATGAATAAAAAAAAATTACAAAACTATGATATAAATTACAACCCCAAAGAATTGAAATAATGAATTAACAAATTTTTTTTAACTCAAAAAAATGATCACTCCCATCTTCTTCACGGCCATACCCGGCAAGAGATATTAAAACATATTACTTCAATGCTTCCATAAGCTGAAAAACAAAACCAAAATTCGAAGACAAATAGCGTATAACTCCCACAGAATACAATACCTGCAATAACAATTGTTGGACCAGTTCAAGAGATTAGTTTTTCATCAAACACCAACGTGAAAAAAAAATTCCGAGTTTTCAGACAAACCTTATCAAAACTGAAAACTGATGCCAGCTGATATAAAGACTGTTTCGTCACTGAGGCCCTGAAAACACATTTTCTAAAATATCATGAAGTTTTGGTGACCGTCTCCGGAACAAAGGTTCTAGCCGGAACGATGGGACACCGATCTGCCATCTTTTGGCATCATACATTTCATTCCATGCCTGTACTATCTCATCGATCTTGAATCCCATACCTGCAGTTGATGTTTTGATTATTATGTATTGCCCATATTCGTCAAGTAATTTTCGACTTTAGTATTCATATATTAAATAACGTAATTACCTTCAAGTGCATTGTCACTTGAGCAATGGTTCTTTACCATGACAGCTATATCGGTTGCAGAAGCTCCAGCTAGTTCAAATTTCTCCACTGCAACCTCCAAACATTCATCCCAGGTTGGTAGGCCAAGCTTATACTCCACGATGGACCGTTCATACAGTAAGGAACCCCACAAAAGATTGATCTGGGAACTCATATTAGCTGTTTGTTCTGCGCTTTCTTCATCAGACGCTTCACTAAAGACTCCATCCAAGCCTAACTTCTGTAGCAGTTCTTTATGTTTATCGAAATTGGAGATTCCATTCAGACGGCGTTCTTCCATCTCTTCCCATATTTGCATGCCCTTTTCCATGCTCTCCTCAGCTTTGTTATAGAGCTTTAGAACATCCTGGGAAACATCGGTTTCTATATCTATCTCGCCACTCAATGCATGATACCAGCAAAGCTTAGCCTGTTCAAACTGTTGTTGCCCGAGTGCTAGAAGAGCTTCATAGAAATCAGATTTAATTTTAATCGCGCCTTCGTATTTTTCTGCAGCTTTGTTGTACTCATTCTTTGCCCACTCAAATCCGGCCTCAACTTTCTCTAGTATAGTTTCTCTTGAACCATCCTCGGGAAAATAGATCTGCCTTCTTGCCTTGGACATATGAACATTCCCCCAGTTAAACATTGCAAGCGCAGCCATTTCTTGAAACTTATCAGCAGCAATATCAAAGAGTTGTTGCGCATCTTCGCCAGTGACAATATCTTCCATTGCTTCTGTATACAGTTTCATCCCAAGGTTATGAAGTTCCAAGTAAGAATCAGAATCAAACCCGACATGGTTCTTAAACAGTTGCGCAAACTGGAAAATCCAGTGCTCAAGGGTGGTAGATGCTTTCTCAGATTCCACATAGTCTCCGACACTTCCATTATCAGCAACACTACTCGATCCCTTGGCAAACTTATCAGTTGATTCATCATTTGCGATGACATCATAAGTTGGTTCTTGATTGGGGCTAACTTCAGCTATATACAATCTAAAGGAGCCAAGTTTCTCCCTAGTAGATGCAGCCAGCCTCAACTCATCTGTCGTAGTAATGGTAACCAAATCACCCTCTGAGTCCCTATATTTGATCAGGAAACCCTTCAGAGCAGGAAACCGATCCCTGATAACGTCTCTTACAAGTCTAACACTAGAATCCAACGGCAATTGTGCCCACCTTATATCATCTCCATGAACCAACTTCACTGTCCTAGTCACTGTTGCGTCTTCCTTAGCGCTCTCAACAATCTCTGAAGCAATGACCTCTTTATCCATGACAGGACTCACTTTCTTTTCCTCAACCACAACCTTATCCTCTACCTTCCTTTTCTCTTTCGACTTCCCGCTATCCGCTTCCTCTCCATTCTCAACTTTCGCATCCTCAACAACAGCTTCAACACTATTCCTTTCACCATCATTTCCACCATTCATCGTCATGGTCTTCTTCTTCTTCTTCCTCAACCTCTCCTTAACAATCTTTCTCAACCTCGCCGCACCAACAGGCTGAACATTAACCAAATTCTTCTCCATCTCCTCAACATCAATCCCTTTACCAACCAAAACCTTCTTCACCCTCTCAAAAATCTCATTAGCAGAAACATTCTCAGGCTCCATATTCAAAACAACGCGCGAATCCCGAAAGGCGAAATCCAATTTATTCAAAGCCTCATAACAACGAGCTCGTTTCAACAAAGCTTTACTAAACCTAGGAGAAGCCTCTAAAGCCAAATTACATTCGTTAATCGCATTTGGATACTCTCCTAATCCCATTTGCATATAACAAGAAGCCATACTTGTTCTCAAATAAGCTACATCTCCATGATCTCTAGGTAATAGCTTAACGGCTTTATCATACCTAAACATTGCTCCTTCGTTATCACGTTTCTGGAATAATTTGTTGCCTTCTTCTTTGAGTTCTAATGCTCGATTTATGAAGATTGTCATATCGTTGTCGAATGATTTGGTGGTTGATCGATCGAAGCTTTTTCTGGTTTTACCTCCGCCGCTGGTGGAAGAATCCGTCGCCGGGATCTCGGAGTTATTCTTCTTCTTCCCCGTTGGTTTCCCCATTTGAAATTTGAATCGCGATTGAAACAGAGAATTTGAATTTCTTAGAAATGTTAACAATTTTTGATCGGAGAGAGAGAGAGAGGAATGTGTTTTTTTTTTTTTGGATTGAGTGATCTCTAATCCACGAATAAAATTAGAAGGAAGAAAGAAGTGTGTATAACAATATACCGACAACTTTTTAAAAATTTAGAAAAGTCAAAACTTTATGTTTTGTTGAGAAAAAAAAAAAAAAAAATTGATATTAGTTTATGTGCCGTTTCATTGCAACAACATTCTTTGTATTGAAAAAATTGTATGTTGGGAAACTTATTGGACCAATGGGTGATATCTTTTTTTGCGCAAACATTTTTGTTATCCATTCGTTCAATTCCAATGGAAGATAAAGAGTAAAAATTTACCGTTAGGTTATAAAATGCTAATCAAACACAAACTTACAATAAAAGTAGATAGATAGAATGGAAAAGTATTATGCTTCCTTGATAGATCCATAGAAGTTTGGAGACAGAGACGCTAAGGTGCAACATGCCATAGACGAGATCATGGTGTGTCAACGACACTTCCGCAAACACTTCAGAGAATTTAACATTAGCCACTATCAACAGATTTCATGACGTTCAAAAAGGTTTTTTAGTTTCATTGGTTGTCGGCGCAAACCACTTGGAGATAGCTAAGAGACGTGGACATGTTCTCTCCACAAGAGAGGAAGACGGAGCCGAGGTTATCTCCATGATGGAGAAGCTTGGATGCCAAAGACCTTCAAAGTCAAATAAGAGTGGAATTTTATCAACAAGACTTGGTTCAGTATCTAATTGAATTGGACATAGTCTAGATTAAAGAATTAGATCCGAACTCCTAGGGTATGGGGAATTGAGAGTTGCAATTGCTTGAGGCCAATGAGATAATAATAGACTAGATATTGTATCGATGTTGACACAAGCCATGGAAAGTGTCCTCGGCCAGCCATGGCAATATGTCGTAACATCAAGATAGAAGGACTAATCGAAAGATAAATTCATATCTTGGTGCAGATGGAAATATCTCCAGTAAAACTATTAGTGACGTGATAATGTACTATGTTTAAAATGATATACTAGAGATGTGCATTGATATATCGTGGGTTTTACCGTTTTTAGCCATGATATATGTGTCAGTTTTAGAGTCTTTTTGTTGTTCCTAGAGTCTTTTTGAGTCTTTTCAGGTTTACACGTTCGGGACAAATTTGGAGATAATGAACCATTCTGGAGCTAAACCGGAGATTAAGAGCTGAAGGAACGAATTCGGTATCAGACCAAGGCATGAGTGTCGACCGACACCCCCTAGTGTCGATCGACACCACACGCGTCCCAGCAAGAGCCTCGACGGTTTAAGAGTTTTAAAGCCCGTAGAATCAACCTAGAAGACTTCCCTATTTGCAACTTTAGTCCCTGCACGTTTTTGGAGATATTATAAATAGTTTTTAGGAGTTTCTATTTCACTATCTTGCATCTTGCTTTTTTGCTTTTGGCTTTGAAATTCTCTGAGCTTGAAGCTTGGGCATATTAACCAGAACCGAGCCGAAATTTGGTAAAACAATGAACGGTACCCATAAAACCCCGAAATAATACAAAACACTAGGATATGACCCGCGGTACACCGCGGGTTAATTATTTGATTTTTTTATTTTTATAAATTGATGAATTTATTGTGTATAATATTTTTTGTTGTATACCGCGGGTCACATGCGTTGTATCTAAAATAAAAAATTTTAAGTTGTATTTGTTTTGTTTAGTGTTTAAGATTGTATAATTGTATTTTGATTTGTTATTTATAGGATTTCACCTGTGGTATATTGTCTCGTATTAATATTGACCCAAACCCGACCAACCATATAATCTAAAATGAAATTAAACATCATTTTGTTATTTTTTTAATAACAATTTTATTTAAATGTCATATAATTCGAGTTAATTTGAAAGTTGCTTTCAAATAGTTTCCATGTATATTTTTAAATTAGTGTGTGTTTTTGGACCAACCAGTAAAAACAATTTATAATTGTATCTTAAAATACTAATTAGGATTTCACCCGTGATATACTGTCCTATTTTAGATAATTGTAAAAATTAAAGAAAGATCCGAATGACTCAATTTCGGGTATGAATAAAATAACGACATGATTAAATGCTCAATTTGTTCTTAAAAATGTTAATATAGATTACACACATATTTTTATTCATCGATTGAGTAATATATGTCCGTTTTAAAAAATTTGAATTGTAACATATGCAGAAAAAAAAAAACTAAAATTTACTAACTATTTATATATTTTATAATAATTTAAAATAATATAAATATAAGATCAAATAAAAGTGAAAGAATCATATATTTATGTTTAAATTAGGTAGAGAGGTTTTAGGAAATTAGTGCAAATTTGTTATATTAGCATTAAATCATCATATTTGATTTCTTTATCTATAAAAATCGTGGAGAATATACCATAAATAAAGCGTTTAAATATAGTAATTAGTTGAGAAAGTATATATATTTTAGATTTTATTAATTATTTTCGTTTTTTAATTTTGCCAAAATTTAAGGAAAGATCCGATTGAAGATTTTCGGGTCAAAATTAAACAAATTTGACTCGATTTGGGTACCCCAAAAACTGCTGCAAAAATGTATAGTAGATTACTCATGGTTCTCGCTTCGGTTCAGATTGAAGTGGTTTTGACCATATGTTTATGGTTTTGTATGGGTATTTTTGGTTAAATCGGGTAGTTTGCAGACCCAAATTACCCGAAAACCGAAAGAACCGAGCACCCAGACATTTATAGGAAACAGCACGTATGTTTATAGGAAACAACAATAAAACGGCACACAGTTTTTCACTGAGTCTCTTCCCCGAGTTGGCGAAGAAAACCAGAGAAACAACAACACAGAAGTAGAATCTTCTTTAGTCATCTCCCGCAAGTTAAGGAAGCTCTGAAATTAGGGGTTTTAGTCTGCGATCACGATCCTTCAATTACTTTGGCAATAATGGAGAAAGTGAGACAACCAACGCATGCAGGCTCTTGGTATACCGATAACCGTAAGTTCTGATTTTTTTCTCGCTTACTTACAATCTCTCACTTGCATGCTCAAGCATCCTATTTTGGGCTGAAATTAGGTTTTAGATTTCATCATTCTTATTTCTGGTGTTCTCTATTTGTTGATCACTGATTATGGGTTAAAGTTTTGATCTTGTGATTACTGAAATTCGTTTACTAAATGGGTTTAATTTGATCTGATGTTTAGTATCAGTGACTTTGTTTTTAGAAACAAATGCATTTAACAGTGAGCTTTGACTTTTCTTAATCTTTCTAGATTTGTCCGCTATCTATTTGAAAGATTTGATTAAGAATCTCGAGCCTGTTTTATGTTTCTTTAACAGCTACGAAGTTGTCATCTGATCTTGAAGAATGGCTTAGTGCAACTGGTTTGACCAAATCTCCTCATGTTCGAGGCGTCATTGCACCGTAAGCTGTTCTTGCTTATCTCATTTCGCTTAAAATATGATTACACTTGCACTAACCTTTTGAAGGGAACCAGACACGCAGGTTATTCGTATTCCGGTCGTGCCGCTGCTTATGCTTTTGCAAACATTGATCCTACTAATATGTAAGATCAATTGTTCTTTCATTCAAAACATGTTTGCTTCCGAAGACTGTCATGAATTAGAATTCATGGATTCACTCTTGTTATTCTGTCTGACTAGTGCTGTGTTTTTTTCGAGTCTCGTTTCAGTTCGCGGATATTTCTTCTTGGTCCATCTCACCATTTTTATACTCCAAAATGTGCCCTTTCGACTGCAACAGTTTACAAAACCCCCATTGGAGATCTACCCGTTGATGTGGAGAGTAAGTTTGGCTACATTAGCTTATCTTACCAAATAAATATTTTTCACTTGATGAGGAAAGATGTTCTCTTTTGGTTTTCTTATGAATTCACCAGTGATTAAGGAGATAAGAGCTATGGGAAAATTTGGAATGATGGATCTACGGGTCGATGAGGCTGAACACAGCATGGAAATGCACTTACCGTATTTGGCCAAAGTATTTAAAGGGTAATCACAGGGGTAGTAACGTTAAGGTTCTCAATTACTTTAAATAACGTGGCGGAATTTTCTGAGACTGGCCCATTTTAATATTTGATCAGGCACGATGTGAAAGTTGTACCCATCTTGGTCGGAGCAGTAAGTGCAGAAAATGAAGCCATGTACGGTGAATTGCTTGCCAAATATGTGGATGATCCCAAGAATTTTTTCTCAGTGTCCTCTGACTTTTGCCACTGGGGCTCAAGGTTTGTCTTAGCTCTTCATCTCCTTCCCCTCATTGAAATACCACATTCTGATGAAACTTTACTTATATTCATATGTTTTTGCTTATAGGTTCAATTACATGCATTATGACAACACTCATGGTGCTATACACAAATCGATTGAGGCTCTAGACAAGAAGGGAATGGATATAATAGAGACAGGAGATCCAGATGCCTTTAAGAAGTATCTTCTGGAATTTGAGAACACGATTTGTGGGCGCCACCCAATCAGTATTTTTCTCCATGTAAGCGGTTGTCAATAACTTCATGAAAAATAGCCTTAAGCTTCTAGATCTAGTTGTTGCCTTCATATTTATCTAGAAGTTTTTCTTTTAGATGCAATCAATATGATGGATGAATATAAAGGTGAATCTGGTACTCGACTAGGCTACTTTAGCCCGTATCGAGTGTGTAGATTCCTGAAAACTTACTGCTTCTGTTTTATGTTTGTGATTGCTTTCAGATGCTAAAACATTCCTCAAGCAAGATTAAGATCAATTTCCTGCGGTACGAGCAGTCAAGTCAATGCCAGACAATGCGGGACAGCAGTGTCAGTTATGCATCTGCTGCAGCCAAGTTGGAAACTTGAACTAAAGAAACTCGAAAACTTGGTGTGCAAAATTTCCCATTCGGTTTTTACATTTCGGTTTCAAGGTCTTTCATGGTCAAAAAGTTTCATCTAAATGCTTGTGAGCAATGTAAAGAACCTTAGAAAACCAAAGGCTTCGTGTTTACAATCCTCTGTAATAACAACAACAAAATCACAAGACCCTTTTCCATTGACTGATATCTAATTTTTAATTGTTCAGACAAGAAAGCACAATTCAAATGTGTTGAGACTTAAAACACTTTGCTTAAGATCTACAGAGACA